TAACCACAATCAGTAGTGGCACACGCACCCACACAGAACTGCTGATACTGCTGCTGCTGTCTGCATCACCCTTCTTGTTGTTTGTGAGTTCAGGAGGAAGTGTTGTTGTTGTTGTTGTGGTGGTGGTGGTGGTGGTGGTTGCTTCCTCAACTTTTTGGGTATTGGTTGATTCACCTTCTGCAGGGTTCGTATCACCATTAGCATTCTCAGTTTCACCATTTTGTTGTTGAGAATTGTGTGTGTTATCAGAAGATTGAGGTTCATCTGTTTTACCGCTGTCGGTTCTCTGGGTGTCTGGTGAATCTGTATGAGCTGCATCTGTAGTTTGTGAAGAAGTCTGAGCATCTTTCGATCCCATCACTTGTGGCGACTGAACATGATTGGGAACTTCAACCCTCACCGTAGGTGATAATGCTGCAGTACTCTCCAATTGATCGGCATTATGTACATTTGGAAGCAGTTCCGCATTACTCTCTGGATTTATAACAGCTTGCTGATGCCCCACTTGGTCTACACCAGGCAAAGCAACAATAGAGTTTGAAACAGTAACCTGCGTACGTGCATCATGATCCAACTGCTGCACTCCTTCACTCACAACATCACCAGCACCACCTGCGGTAGGTTTCGGAGGTTTAGTGCAGGGAGGATCAGTAAGAACACCAGAACCATTTTTGCAAGTGTCACTTGGAGCAGATTCAAGAACAGGAAGAGAAGGTGCTGCTCGTTCTGATGGTATCTGTGGGGGGACAACAGGATTAGAGTCATGACGACACTTACCATCAGGAGCGTCAGAACCCTCAAGGCAAACAGCACCAGGAATAGCACCAGGTTCAGTAGAGGAGCAACTAGGAGTATTCTCAGAATTTTCAGTGCAAGCAGAATGATTATCGTCCTCATTATGGGAAGTCGTGTCCGCTGAGACACATACTGAAGCAACACTCAGCAGCAACATCAGAAAACACAACACACGACACAATATCATCACTCCAAAAGTTAATTTTTGTTGTTTTACGACACTCGGCTAACGAAAGAAAAACGGAAAAGAGAGAAAAGCAATTATAATACAATAGCGTTAATTAGAGGAGAAAAAAACAAGGAAAAAAGAGAAACAATAGCCATCACAACCAGCAAAAATAATAGAGAAGCCCATAAAAGGGTATCACAAACAATTTCAAGCAAAACAAAAGAAAAAGAAATTAAGATCATGAGCAGTGGCATGATAAAGGGCAGAAACCACAGAAACATAATTATAATGAAATTCACAAGCAGTTGTACATATGTATAATTTCTCTTTTTCCCTCTGTGCAAAAAGCATTCAACCAAAAGGATGGAGGGTAAAACACACAACGTCCCCAGCAAACCATAAGCAAACAAAGAAGATTATTAACCATTTGCCCAATTTATACAGTAAACACAGAAATATACACCAACTATGGGTATGAGTCTATATATGTGTGTATATACGCAATTATAAATATAAATTCATCTGTTATCATTATTTCTTTCTCTTTCACTTCAAAAAGCAGTTCATCATCATCATCACAGTGCAAGCCCAGGTGCACACACAGAGAGAGAGTCTCCAAGAACACACACACACACACACACACAATGGAGTAGCAATAATAATTATTATTATAGGATAAACATAAAGATAGTAAAAACACACAAAACACAATAACATTAAGAAACAAAAAAGAAAAGAATCCCAACAGGTGAAAGAATAGTTAAATTGTAGGGATTGCATGCAAAAAAGAAAGAAAAAGAAAACAAAGGATGACCTGACTCACACCACCACACCACCATCACAATCAGCATACAAGAATACAGGCCAGTGTAACCACAATCAGTAGTGGTACACGCACCCACACAGAACTGCTGATACTGCTGCTGCTGTCTGCATCACCCTTCTTGTTGTTTGTGAGTTCAGGAGGAAGTGTTGTTGTTGTAGTAGTAGTGGTGGTGGTTGATTCCTCATCATTATTGGGTGTATTGACATTGTCCCTCGTTGCATCACCTTCTGTAGGTGCAGGTGAAGTTGGTGAAGTAGACTGAACACCATTGCCTTCTTCTGCTTGTTGATTCTCGTTGTTTTCTTCAGTCCCTGTAGTGCTCTCTTCATTGGTAGAAGATGTTGTATTTCTCCCTGTACTCTCACCGTTCTCTCCTTGTGGCTGCGTTTCCAGGTTATCTTTTTCTTCTTTAGCATCACTGTGACCACCTTTCTCGTGTTCAGCTACCAGAGAGCTATCCCCTTGCTGTGCCTTAGAGCCCAAGTCTTCTCTTCCTCTCTGTGAATCAACATCAGAAGCTGGTCCAGACCCACCTGATGTAGAAGGAGCTGCAACACCAACAGGTCCACGCACTTCAGCAACAGAAGAGCCAGGATTTGCAGGATCAACACTTGCTTCTCTGTCACCTTTCAGAGTCGCTTCTTTGTGGACTTCTTCCGTTTCCTGTCTTTTCTCGGCGGATTCATGTTTCGTGTCGCTACCAACACTTCCTGCTTCTGGATGGTCTCCCTTTATTGTGTTCACTGTGGCATTTTGTTGTATTGGACCCTTTAGACCAGCAGATTGACCAAGACTGTTACCTTTACCACTGTCTGCACAATGAGAACCACCATCTTCCACAGCAGACGAACCAGAGGGACAAGACGAAGCTGCAGAATGCAGATTGTCAGGACCACCTTCACCCTTAGGCCCAAGATCCGTAGGTGAAGGCTCAGCAGCTACCACATAACTGCACACACAATACAGTGCAATAGTCAGAACACAAAGGACGCGGCGTATTGACATCATTACTTTTCCCCGTTGGTGTTACTATCACAATTTGGTGATCTAAACAAAACAAAAACAGAAAGAGACACCAAAAACATAAATAAAGAAAAGTACATAAAGAGAACAAAACGAAAAGGGTAATAGCAAGCCAAACATAACAGGTAACTGCAACCATCTCTCAGATAGTGTCCAAATGAAAGAAACAAGCACACAATACCCATTAACAAACAGATAAGCACAATTAACCCCTCAAAAAATGAAAAAAAAAGAAATTAAGAGAACGACCATCAAAAGTACAGCACAGAAATAAATACCCCTTTCACTTTCAGTAGAACCATGTGCAACATTATGAATATATATGAATTCCTTTTTATTTACTCTCTGCACAAAACAATTCAACGCATCATTGAACCCGAAAGCATACTGCGCCCAAACAAAAAATGTATGAAAAAAACAAAAAAAAGAGAACCACCAACTGCTCAAAATTAGCACAACTCTCTGGGTACACTGGTCTGTTCAAGCAATTAAGAATACAAATTGTATTAATTACTATTTTTTTCTTTTCTCTTCACAAAGCATATCACAACAACGGTGCAGAGCAAAGCACACAACAATAAACAAAACAAACAGATATTAACCATTAGCCCAATTTACACAGTACACACAGAAATACACACCAACTATGGGTATAAGTCTATATGTGTCTATATACGCAATTATAAATATAAATACATCTGTTATTATTATTTTTTCCTCCACAGCAAAAAAACAAACAGTTCATCGTAGTGCAAGCCCAGGTGCACACACAGAGAGAGTCTCCAAGAACACACAC